GTATCCAAACCATGCTGTTTTAACTAAAACAAAAGGACTAAATAACAAAAAAAGCAAAGGAAGAGGAGTTTGAGGTTTCCGATATTTCGGACGGTAAAGCCGTTCTTCCTCAGGGAATTTAATGAGGAAATGGAAAGTCGTTATAACGATTGCAAGGATGCATGTAATTGCTTAAGGCTTCCAACTCTGATTGGTTCGGTAGTCAATCTGGTCAGTTGCAATTGCCCAGGAAAATTGGTTTGGTTTTCAAACCACTTATGCGAAGTCTGCTCTTCCTTGCACACTATTTATATGGCCATATATGTTTTAACTAAAAGAGCGACCTGATAAAATTATAGAGTGAATAAACTTGCATTACAACTCACATAGAATACAAGATGTATAAATAACACTCACGTGACTGGTCCTCTTCCACTGAACTTGGTATAACTTTCATTCTTTCTTTGCTTAGCTATAAACAGAAACATGCTGAGGGTAACTTGCTCGTCAGTATTCCAAGATTTTGAGGCCACGCATGAAATCGTGCAAGCACTCCTCTGGGACAGGGGGCCGGTACAAGTGTGTCTGCGGTTGATGTACAGAAGTTGTCCTGTACTGTTGAAAACTTCTGTTTATTAAAGTTGTCTAGACTCCTGGATTCGGACAAAGCTCAACGCACAAGTTCGCAGGGCGACCTGGGGGTACACTGCTGTTTTCTTAATATGCTGCGTTCTAAAATAGTGATGAACGCAGAATATCGAGAAAACTATTAATATTGCGGATAACGCGTGGGCAGGGGGGTTTGAGGAAAAATGAAGCCATCACCCTCTTTTCCCAGATCACGTACGTTTAATTTTCGGTAACTTTGTTTTCCGCGACATCCCTGCGATCTGAGGTCAGGAAAATGGATAAGCTAGTGTAGTAGTAGATATTTTTGGGAATTGTACTCTGTTACAGTGATACAGTATAGGCTGTACTATACAGTTCTGTCCTTTGAGTTAAGAAATAAAACTTTAAGGGTGATCTTGTAATAACTACTGCGTAAAATTTGGGATTTAGGAAATTATCTAAAATAGAAGCTCAAATGGGAGATTAAGTGAGTTCTTTCCTGATAATACGAAGGTACAGTGCAATGATTGATTACCTTAATGTAAAGCTTGATTTCTTCGGCCCGTCTCATGTATTTAGCGACCTGTACAAAAACAAAAAGGAAAATTGATAATAAAAACGCTAAGGAAACAAAAATGAGAATATTGCTAAGCCATTACACTAACGATTGTTTGCCGTGAACTGAAATTAACCCTTAAGTTCTAAGAATGATCAGTAATTTCTCCTTCAACTAACGATGCACTATATACAAATCCCTTTATTTCAATGGCTTCTCCCCATTAACGCTTTGGAAACAAAAGGACAAAAAAAGGCATCCTTCTTCCTTTACGCGCTTCCCCGAAAGGTGAACCCCTGATAGCAGGTTACAGGAAAAGAGAATTTGTATTTAGATGTTAGGTTTAAAAGGTTAAACGCTCTATAGACAAGTAAATCTGCATAGATGATGGCCATGTAAGTTAAAACCCCCCTCCTTACAAAAAGAAAGAAGTTCAGGATAATGATCCGAAGTTCACAATTCATAATCAAGCCCTGGCCTATTCGTGTGCTAATACCACCCCTCCCCCTTCCCCCGCCCCCGTTTCAGTGTACCACTACACTACTAAACCAACCCGCCAAAAATGAAAAGAAAACAATAGTTTAAGGATATTATAGTCAACTGCGTTAACTACTGGCACATCTATGTTAGGTAAACCTGCTTTTTTTCTTTTAACGTAAATTTGACTTCTTTCTTTCTTATTCATACTTTTTGCCTTATTGCAGTTTAATCCAGAGAATATATTACATCTACTGTACCATGACTAAAGGCTTGGTTATAAATGAAGGCATCTGCACAGGTGAATTGCTTTTGACCTTCTCCTGAATAATAATTGCATTTATCTGATTATAGTATTAAACTTCCCAAAAATTTATTATGAAGCGGTAAACTTGCCTCTAAATGCAGAGCTTCTTTGTATGGGCCACGAGGTGTTCCTAAAAACAAGAGAGGCACAAAACTGAAAAAACAAAACTGTAACTCTAGCTAGTTGAAAGAGACTCTGATCTGGAAACGAAGGTTTTCTGGGAATTTATCTGCCAACTCCTGTCATAAACTGTGTCACTAGCATTTCTATAATTACTTACATTCTGCTTACATTGGTGCAAAAGTACTTGATTGTAAAATAAATGAATATAAAAAAAAAACAAATTAAGCAATCAAGTGATAGCCTTTACAGACTAAAGTATTAAGCAATCAGAAAATTAGCGAGAACAAAATTGTTGTGGTAAAGTTTCAAAAGATCCGGGCTTAGCCGTTCATCGGGGGAACACTGTTGGTTTGCAGTTCAGAATACACGTATATGGGAAGAATTGGTCAAAAGAAAAAAAAAAGAGGGCCGACCTTGACCAGGGGTCTGGAGGCTATACTAGACACCACCCATCTAATGTGTCTAATGGACACATACATTTACCCGGAAAATTCGATATCAGACACTTTTATATGCTTGAAGCTTGTATTTTGGATAAACTGTCCAAAGATATTTAAATTTGGTACTAATTGCACTAGCGATAGACAGGAGGTTATTCAAACAGAAAGGGGTTCGGGGGGAGAAGGGGGTAGGGAAGGAGACCATCAGTGTTTACGTGGTATGGTGGGTCCCGTCTGTGTACAGGACTTTTGACCACTTCCCAATTATATCAATCAAGGTGGTTTCACCTGACAAGATTGGTAAAAGTGCTTCAAGTGCGATCTGGTACTGCGGAAGGGCACTCTCATACGCTCCATGTTCATCCTTATAAAAAATAAGATACAAAAACAACTATGAACAAAGGGCAGAAATAGCATACACTGATTTCCATCACAGAGAGGCGCGGCGAGGTGAGTTGCTGTGTGTTGGTCGTGCTTCAGTTCAGGAATCAGTTTGCCTGCTAAACTGCTCACAAAGATCCTAAGTTAGGATTTTGACTACCTGCCTCTACATCAAAGAAGATCTTGTCTCTGCCTTTGTGTTATATTCTTCGACTGGAAAATTTGCGTCACGTTGAGTCACTCCACTCAGTCCCCAAAGGTTCAACTGGCCCTGGTTGTTCAAACGCGGGATTGTGCTACCCCTCGGATAAATCACTATCTAGGGGATAAGTATTAGGGAAAAAAATAACGTGCATATCTAGTGGACAGCGCTTTCCAACTTTTGAACAACCAGCTGGGCCAGATGGACTATAGCCCTATCCACCGGATAAATCGCCATCCAGTGTCCAAGCATTAGGGAAACCCTCCTATGTTTGAAAAACTGGGGAAAGATGTATAAATGTTTACTGGTAACACAATCCTGTAGGGAATTCTGCAATGGACTGACATTCTATCGAGAAGTACAAATACTCCTAATAGCTGACACTATAAATAGCGGGTTGAAGCCACACAAGCAAATTGTAGGCGGCCATTCAATTCCTACAGATCAAACAGCGCCAAATTTTACGATGAAAGATCTTTTCTAAACACACCAGAAAGAACTTAGAACAGCGGAGAATTGCCCAACGACAATTTATGAGTGAGGAAGCTTTTTATTTTCCATAGTGTAAAAGCTGGCTCTTCACTTTTTCAGCAGCCGCATTTGTCACATAAAATTTAGGCAAATTTTCCCACATGCAAAAGACTTGGTAAAAGTCCGATTTGCTTGGAAAGTCCACTTGAGGGCAATCAAGGTTTAATGTCACTGCATAACTTTCAGTGCATGTTTCTGCTTGCTTGCAAAGTCTTTTCCTGTACCACTCGCGCGCAACTAAAGTTTTTTTTTTTCCGCCAGTACTAGGTTCTCTTTTAGAGGGGGGGGGGAAAAGTATACCACTGTTATCTAGGAAAAAAGAAAACTCATCGAAGAAAAATAAAGAAGAAATTATTGTTCAGCTGTTAAATGCTACAACCCCCTATTCTTTCAATACTCTGAACGAAACGTAAAGAGTATTGAAAGAATGAACAGATCTAAGTGAGAGGTTACTTTTAAACCATCTACAACATGTGCTGTGAGTTGTTTCAGTCCCTACAATCTCTCTTCTTCCTCAAATAAAACGCCATCACGAACATGTACGTTGTAACAATAATAACTATTCACAACACTCATAATGATATGCGAGGTTAAAATAATTCAATAATGGGTTCTTTCATGGCTAGTCTAGCGGTCTCACGTGCGATTACGTAATTACNATCAAGTTCAATTATATGGATGTCGAGTTGCGGCCAAGAGAAGAAAATTTACACCTCGAGGGCGAAGGGTACTCCCTCATATGGACTATGCGGGGATGTGCCGCTGGACAGGGTATGGTTTGAGTCTGTCAACAGGGTATTGCCTACACGATTGACTTGATTTGCTAGATGAATTTTGCTTGTACTCCAAGTGTACAAAAGCAATAACACGTGAATTTGTTCTATTGTAATTGCCAATAAATGGCTTTAAAACAAGACGGCGTGCATTTTGTCCTTTGTCCTAAACAGAGTTGTAAAATTGAGGATGTTGTCCTAAACAGGGTATGTTTTTAGGAATTTTATGTCCTAGGCTCAGGGTTTCAAACCCCCGGGAGCGGGGGGGGGGGGGGAAACTTTAGGAATTTCTGGATGTGCCGCTGGGAGCCTGGAACCCTTAACCACTTCCAGAGCTAGTTCAACTGAATTTTGCTACCCTATACTAGAGTAAACTCCCCAAATCCCCCCTATCCTAGAGTAGCTGTGTACCTAGCCTAGATAAAATCTTCAACCGACTGATCAGTTTCCTGAAAAATGATACCCTATTCTAGAGCCAAACGCTCTTATTTATATACCCTATCCTAGAGTAAACTGCTTGAAAACCATACCCTTCCCAGCGGCACATACCTATATAGCCCATATATGGCAGTACCCCCCCCCCCCGGGTTCAAACCCTGAACGGCCAAATATTGGTAGAGCAAAACCTTCTCTCCCACCCCCAGGATTCAAAAAGCAAAGAAACAGTATTGTTCATCTTACCCTCTCCCGTAATCTTGCTTTCATCTCTGGATCTTTCTCATCTGTAGTATAAAGAATATTTGCACTGTCAAGCCAAATACACAAATGGCTTCCTTTTTGCATTACTTATACTCAATGTACTGTTACTGTTTTCCCTCTAGAGTACTCTTTACTTGTTATATTCGGTTGTTTGCCAAAGGAAATTAAAATAAGCACCCCGTTCCGAATAAGCGCCCCGTTTCTTCATTGCTCCGTCCCTTAAGAATAAGAAGCGTCCGAAACAGCATCATAAATATAAACTCACGAGTTGACAATTTGCTCATTGTATTTTACAATTATCGTCTTTTTGTGGTCGTTACCGCTACTCTTATAACGCTGTCAAAGCTCATCGTTCCGCTATTAGAGAGATTAAGATTCACGTTTAGCCAAACGGCAAACGTGAATTTGTACCACGTGACCAAGTCTCCCCTCATATTACCGTTTACTGTTTAACACTTCTACTCAAAAATAAGTAGTTTCACGTCAATTTTATCCATAAGAATTGTTCTGGACAGTTTTTATCTGCTTATTTTCTATTCTGAGGAATTCTCAACCTGAATCTGACGTTTTCAGTGAGACATTTACAGAGTTGACTAAAAAAAAAATTGCCGCAGACTATTCTTGGTCAGCGGCACTTTATAAACTGTATAGCGAAGTTTTTTTTGCCAAAATCTGTCCACATTCTTGGGATGTCCGTGTTCTGCGTACTCATATGCATGGTATGTAGCCGTGAAGACTCTGGTGTTGGGTTTAAGGTCCGTCTGATCAAGGTACTAATCATGTGAATGCACATGCAAGTGATGCAACAATCACTGTTCAATTCGAGATCACACGTAATTCAGATACCCACGTACTGTACTAAATGTACCCAGGAAAATGAAACTAGAGCTTGATCTCAGCTTTGTGCGGGACGAGTCTTTGGTAAGATACGCCAGAGTGTTAGCAAAGTCTAGAAGTTCATGTTAGAAGGATTTATATGGGGGATGCTGATAGTTTGCTAAATAACAATCAGCTGTTGCAAATGGCTCAAGACGGCCATCGAAGGAGGAAACGTGTGGTCGACTGCTCTGCAGCCGAAGGATAATGATGATGATGAAACCAAAGGATCATGATCATGATGAAACAGCTCCTGCTGAACGTTTTTCGAGGCTTTCACTTTGTAAGAAACAAGACAAAGAAAACCAGTTCCCCATGACGTCATCCGTGTGTCTGTACTCTAATATATCATGGGCAACGGCCAATCACAGCGCGCGTAGCATTCACTATATTGTATAAAAAGATAATGATAACGGAAGTGATGATGGTTTAATCTCTTCCAGATTTCGGTGATGAAGACGAACATTTTGCTTTCTTTGACTCTGTTGGTGCTCGCCACCGCCCAAGTTTCTGCTGGAGATAAGTTAGTCAAGATTCCCACCCACAACCTCGAGCACGGCACTTTCCATGTCCTTCCAAAGTTAGATTACCACGAAGCTTTCAAACTGCGGACTGACCGTTAACGACTCAACAGTGGCCTACAGCCCACCCTGTCGCAGTTCACAGGTCTTAATGAGTCGGAACAATCGGCTATATAAGACAGCCAACGTACAAAATTACAAAATATGTGCTCCAATATTGTCTACAACTACGCTGCAAAAGGTCGGGAATCTTTTATTTGTGATATAAAAATTACGGTTTAACGACATTTAACGACAAATCATAATTGGCGCGGCTAAATTTTCAGTACGTACTGGTTTGGATCGTAAGTTCTATGAGTAACGCTTAAGATCCAGCCTTATTTTAGAAGGATTTATATGGAGTCATCGGACCATAACGGTACATAAATCTCCCCACCAATTTGAATCAACAGTCTCATTTTTAACAATTAAGTGAACATTTTTCCTCTTGTTCTTTCAGGATATGCCAAACCATCCCATAATTTCAGAAACTTAGTTTTTGAGACGTCATCACTTCCGTTGTCTGTTCAAATATGTCTAAAATTTGATGACAAGATGCTCTTACAAATTAACAAAGAGAATGCTTTTGAGAAAAATGTAGAAGAATCCCGGTTAATCGAGCTAATCAGTCTTCGAACAACTAGGCCCAGTTGTTGGCATTTGCTAGATCATGATTTCAACATGATCCAGTTCGCGCGCTAAGAAGGGCGGAAAGGAGGAAACGGCCTCTCTTCTTTCACCTTCCCATGGTCCCTTGCGATTCGTCAACCAGTCACTCGCGTTTTGCGCTCCTCTCGAAGAGAAAAGCGAGGCATCAGATTCCGTGTTGCCTACATTGTCTCCTGCGTAAGCTAGGTGAGTATCATCCACTAGATAAAAATCATACGACCAGAAAGAGACATACATGTAATGTAATGCAATGAACAAATGTAAGATATTTACTTCGTCCATTCTTTGCTTTTTTAACGTAAAAATTGCGCTAACGATAACTTGAAAATAGCCGCTCCCCTTTTCTCAATATAATCTCCGATTGTTTAAAGCTATGACTTCCAATGCTAAGGAGCAATCTGTATCTGTTATTTTGCGATGATTTCGTCAATTAAAAACTTTCGATAATTTTTTCGTTCAATTTGCAGTTGAGTGCTCTTAGTTAGGTTAACGAAAATATCAAAAGTCAATAAAATACCGTGATTTGGCTCCTTTCAAAGAAACGGCTCTGTCCGGAATGTATAACTTACACTCAATGGCGGGTAAAAAGAAAGCCATGGCCTCGCAGTACAACTCAGCAGCTTCCTTAAGCTTGGCATCCTCATCAAGCTTGATAGCCTCTGTTACAAGCTTTATCTGCAAAAAAGAGAGGCATGTGTAAGAGTGGAACTTTCAGCACACTTATTTTACAAAATAACTAGCCTGCGTAGCTGGCGGGATTGTTAGGCGCGGTGTATTTTCTTTATGCGCGGGGTACTTTCTTGGCGGCCCAGCCGCGAGGGCCGCCAAAAGCGAACAGCACTCTTCCGCTAATCTTGCCAGCTAAGGAGGCTACAAAAGCACCTTAAATTTTGAGTTGAAATACGCCATTTCCGAGATGCGAGAACCCTCACTTTCAAAACGAGGCCAAGCAATAATTCAATAATAATAATAATAATAATAATAATAATAATAAATTAAGGCGCAAAATACAGATGAACATCATCTAATGCGCTTTACAATAAAAGGAACTACATCAAATATACAAAACGAACTATGAAATGCAAGGACTTTACAATGTGACTAGTGATATTTAACTAAAGCAATCGATTTTAAAATACATAAACAGTGATACTGTGATGACTAAGTCAGCAATGGCGTGAAGAAAACCTTTCATGTGTATTTTCATGGAAAATTAGTTTTATGTCCATGAAAATGAAAAAATAATTTTCATATCAAAGGCTTTGCACATACCCTCCTTTTAGGAAAGAAGCTAGGAGAAACTCGCGGTGTTCTTTTGAGCCTGGAATGAAGGCTCTTATCATTGTTTCTTGGAGGAAATAATTGCATGATGATGTGACGCATAAAAATCTTTCAATACTGTTCTTAATCCAGGCACATTTATTGAATCTTCGCTGAGGTCATTGTTTACACTTTTGCTCATTAGCATACGACTCAACCCATAAAAGGGGTCACTGTATGGCTATGCACAAATCAAATTCAAAAGTTGAGAGAGTTGGTTAAATTGAGTAACTTGCGCAATTTTCAGCTATTTCAATAACAAAGGAAATAGCAGCCACCGAAAACTGCGAAATTGCTGGGTGGCAAAAACATTACTAAGGGCATACGTTCTTTGTGAGGTTTCGAGCTTTTCAAAGATAATTTCTCCGAAAATGTTATGTATATCAGGCTCAAAAGTTTCATAGATAACTGAAATTATTGTTATGATCTTTCGATATTCAGAGAGTTAATAGTAGTAGCTTGACCAGAGAATGAAAGGCAAAAAATGTACACAAAAAAATTCGCCTATTGCAATATGTTTTTTCTTGCATTCATTAGTCTACTGGGAAAGTCAGACTACGAAACTACAATATCCAACCAACCTCTACCTTTTAAAATGGAGACTCCTTTACCCTAGCCCATATTTAGCAAGGAGTGGATAAAACTTTCACTCAGCCTGAGTAATGTTACCGATAATTATATTCTCGAGCTTCCCCACATATTTTTTTAGCCTCAAGACATTTATAACATTCATAAAGAAAACAGTATAATTGATTTAGAATTTAAAAGATCGGATTTTGCGCGCGTTTCTGACTTTTTCCATTTGTGAGAAAGTAGGGTAACTGTTTGATGCTGGTTATTCTCTGATGTAGTAGATAATAATAATAATAATTATAAAAGTAAATTATAATTGTCATAAAAATATCCCACAATCCTTTGAGGCAATTTTTCTTAAAAGTTTTATAACTTTGACAATTTTATACGTAGAAGAATGTCAGACCACAACAAGATAACATTTGCCATAAGATATCTTTCCATGTCACATCTAAGGTAATGACGTCGTCAGTCACGTGACTATTTCCGAATTAGGTTTTTTTGTTGCTATGACAAGATTTCATTAACGAGTTAAAACCAAATAGCATATTTGAGGTTTTAGTTGCTTGGGGCATTTAAAAACAACCAGTTGACGTCCAGCATTTCAAATTTAAGGAGGCAATGAACATCAGTGAAAAAGTCAGGAGACTAGGCCGAGGGCTGCAGAGAGTTGACATTTCAGGCCGACATTTCATCACACGGCAGAGAAAATTTGCAGGAAAGTAATGCTCTACCTGATAATTTTTTTCATTACCAAAAGAGGGACATGACGTCATCAGTTACGTGATCAGAGCGTTTTGAATATTTTAGTTTGTTTTTAAAGTGCATTTTTCGCCATAGATTGGCAAGTTTTTCTTGTTTTTCTCTACAAATCTTTACACTGTATTACCCCTGAGTAATTATTATTCCGTTTTCAAAACAGAAGCAAACGAAACTGACCCAGAAGTTTAAAAGTTGCGTACATTGACCGATATTCAGATTAAAATCGAAAAGGAGACCTACTCTTGAGACTTTTGTAAAATCCTTATTCAACTTAACTGTTTGTTTACCGAAATAAATGTTCAACGTTTGTTAATAGGGGAGAACTTTAAAAATTGAAAGGATGTATTTGGCGGCCATATTGTTTTTCTTCATTCCAGAGCGAAAGGTCAAGTAGCAGCTCTTCTAACCCTAAAAGCCGAATGGTTTGCTACCCTAACTTAAAAAAATGGAAATAATGATGAGCAATGTTGTGTCAGTGTTTTCCCCGACCGATGAAAAGACAGCTTACGAGCAGGGAGAGAATCGTACGATCATACGGTTCAGTCGGTAGCCGAGCGATCGATAGTTCATAAATTTCTTAAACGTTCCCAGGCATGGACCAAGCCTGAAAGAGTATTAATGGGTTTATTGTGAGCTTTACGTCTAGCTTTGATCAGTTAAAGCTTTGATTCTACACGGAAATTAAAAAAACCCGGAAAAGACATCCTTGAAAACTGTCAATCACCATAGAGAAGGAATATTTACCTCTTTTAAACTCGAACTGTCAGCGTCTACCGAGGTGGTCCAGAGCATGGAGGCATTAACTTTTAGTTCTAACTGATTCTAACCAGCCGGGTTCGAATCCCCTTGAAGCAAATTTTTCGGAACTTTATTCTTATTACTTTTTTAATGTCTTTTTCACCCGTGTGGTGCATATAGCTAGTAACATAATACGGTAAATTGAAAATAAAGTTTACAGGAATATAAAAAATGGTATTTATCATAGCGTATTACACATGTCATCGGCTTGCCCCGGGGGTAGACCCCCGAGCCACTAGTTATTCAGGGTCACTAGTTATTCAGTTGAAGTACTGTCCCGTGTTACCCTCGTTAAATAAAGTTGATTATTATTATTATTATTATTATTATTATTATTGTTATTATTATTATTATTATTATTATTATTATTACTATTATTATTGTTATTATTATAATCATTATTAACCAGGGGGATTGTAAAATGGGGGGAGCAAAGTTGAGGATTTCCCCTAGGGGTGGGGGAATTTAATAAGACAAAGTGGCCTGGTTCAAGTGATTCTCTACGACAAATCCCCCTAAACTGGGATTCACTTGACGGAGGGGGCGTTTTTATGATATTTGGGGATGAAATTTTACTTATTCGTGTTAGAAGTAATATAATATCATTATTGAACAAAAACCACTACAATGAAAGAACACCTAAAGACAGATTCACCGAGATTAGGTGAGACTGGTAACTTTTCCATAGACTACTTAAGATGACCTGAAAGATTCTATCTTATGATGCTCAAAAATTACAGTTATTCATTGTATTTCATTTACGTATGAATTTTTAAAGTCAACGAGTCCTCAGCTTCTACGTTCGTAATAAGAATGATCAGTGATAGGTTTAAGAGATCTGAAAATATATTAACCCGGTTGTTTTGCAATAAACAAATGGATGCGTAATTACCGTTTTAAGGAGTCAGTTAAGGTAATCGTATGCATATTGCCAAGTTCTAGTTTTCTTGAACCGCTTCGTTGATTTTGTGATTGTTACGAGATTGAAGGAATTTTCGCGTGGACTGGAATGTCCTTGAGAGATTTTTCCTTTCTGTAGGAGATAATTGGTGGTTGGTTAAAGATATGTTTAAGCTTCGGTTGCTATTGAATGAAGTCCCAGTGTTTCATGAGAATCTTTTTAATCATCATCATAACTATAACAAAATTCTCAAATCTGACTGGCTATCAACTCCCCTGATTTCAGCCTTAATAGGACAGTACGCGCCATCACGCGCGCGCTTAAATGGCTTTTTTTCACTGCTGGCAAAAAAAAGGTCTTGGAATTTCTTGTGTTTTGATTTATATAAAGAGCCTTATATATCACAAATTTTGTTAAAGTTATGATTAATTGGTAACAGAACTTTGTGTCGTCCAGTTCTGTAATCGTACACGTGATTAAACAAATCAGACTCCCGATTTTGTTAATCACTCGTATGATTACAGACCGAATTGGACTCCACTCAGTCCTGTTACCATTACTAATACTCTTATCCTCTTCCATTATCGGGCTTTTTGGCTAAGAATCCCAACTGGCAGGAGGCGAATCAGTTGGCCATTGTACAAGCGTGGCCGAGGATTAGCTTGAACGCGGAACTACCGAAAACAAATCCAGGTAGCGGTCAGGGCCCAGTTGCTCGAAGCATGGTTAGCGTTAACCAGCGTTTAATACCTTGACAACGTATTGGTTTTGATACTGCTTAACCAAGGGTTAAAGCTAACCATGCTTTGAGCAACTCAGCCCAGGTTGGGACTTGAAGTCGTGGCCTCCGGATTACAAGTCCGGCGCCCTAACCGCTCGAGCAAGCTTCCTCTTACCATTAACCATCTCTTTAAGAACAGGAGGGAGATGGAGGGATGCCCAGGGCTCTTATTTATTGCTACCTTGTTCGAAATCTTTGACTTGTTGTCAGAACTTGACCAACCACTGAAAAACATCGTACCGAAAAAGGTATCCAAAAGGTTTAAAAGTGTACGAATATAGAACGCCAGAATAACGCTTGGCGATCACCTATATAAAAAAGGATGGCTTTAAAACTCTTTACGCCCCAGTATCCACAAACAAATTTTGTGGAGCACTGTTTGATTGTAATGGGAAGGTCATTCCGGAGCTTTGGTGCAATGACTTAGAAGGATCTGTCGCCATAGGTAACCGTAACGTTTCTAGTCTTTGCAACAGACAGCAGGTTTAAGCCGCTTGACCGTAGTAAACGGTCAGGCCTGTAGTTAAATAACAGCTCATTTAAATAGGTTGG